GGTGCCTCCCGCCGTGCCAGCCCCAGGTCCCCGATCTTCACCTGCATCTTCTCGGTCACCAAGAAGTTGCCTGTGGAGGGAGATGAGCTGGAGCGGCGCCGGTGCGGCTCACGTTGCCCTCCCACTGCCCTAGCTCAGCCCCACGCACTCAGCTTGAGGTCCCGGTGGACGATGCCCTGTCCGTGGAGGTAGCGCAGCCCCGAGATGATCTGCCGCAGGTAGTACCGCACCTCCGGCTCCGTCAGCCTCCCCCGGACCCGCAGGATGTCAGCCAGGGACTGGGGATGGAGCGAGGTGCCAGCTCGGGGCCTGGCAAAACCCCGGTACCGGGATGCTCCATTTTGGGGTGCCGGCGCTCGCTCACCCGCCGGCTGCAGTACTCCAGCAGCAGGTATATGTGGCTGCGGGCGGCAAAGGGGCCGGGGTGCCGGTGGTGCAGGTGGCGGTGCAGCTCCCGCTCCCGCTCCACCTGTGTCGGCGTGAGCCCGGCAACACCCCAGGGAACCCTCCGCATCGGGGGACCCCCAGCACGCACCCTCGGGGAGATGGGGATGGGAACCCACCCAGCGACCCGGGAAAGAGGGAGAAGGGGCAAAGGGAGGGCTGTGGGGCTCTGTGGGGTCCCCCTGGGTGTGTGTCCCCCCTCCCTGGGGACTTCCTGTGTGTCCCCCAGACTCACCCTCTCCCCGACGCCCACCGCGGTGAGCCGAGCTCGAGGGATGACCTTCGCTGCGTAGACCCTGCCGCTGGCCACCTCCGTCAGCTGGTAGCAGCACCCGAAGGCGCCCTGCGAGGACGATCCCACAGGAATGAGCCGCTTGGCACCCCCGGGGCGAGAGGCCGTGGCAGAAGGGGGTCCCGTGTGTCGGGGTGCCCGGCTCCTGCTCTTCCCTGGGGACGAGGAGCAGAGAGGACCCGGCTGGCGCTGGCCCCAGGCACCGGCTCTGCTCTGGCTCAGTCCCCAGCGCCTCCCCGCTGCCTCAGTTTCCCCTTCCCCAGGGGGGACGTGGGTGGTCCCCTCGGGGACCCCCTGCAGCCCCGTGGGGTGCGGGTGTGTGCCGCTGC